TACTAGAAGTCCCAAGTCCACGTGAAAAAATCCCAGCCCTTACCAAGGACTGAACCCGGAACCTATAGCACTCGAGGCGGACACCACGACTCGAGACCATACAGCCCCTTAGACAGCACGAAACCGCAAGAACGTTTGCAGCCAAGACACAACAGCTGCAGTCGCTGGTAAAAACGACTTTCCAGATTCCTACTTACATCCGGGCATATGTAGGTCGGCTTTGTGAACGCGTTTTGTAATTTCGCGGTGTCGGGTTCGATTTCAGCTGCGTGCGATTTGGCAGCAGACCGCCTTACCTTAGATTCAACCATGGTGTCGAGAGCTGACCGTTTATCGAGGAACGTAAACGATTGAAGGTAAAGATTGTCTAATGAATAGCATGCAATCTTTTAAAAGCGGTAAACATTGTAACCAAGGACAACGCACTTCAAATCCTTCGAACTTCAGCCAATGGCAGAACGCTAAGATTTCTTGAATCTGCCGCAATTCGTCCCCATGCGCCCCGAACTGTGTATACAAAAAGATATAGTTCTGACACTGCAGGCTGCGCTGGTAAAACAGGCAGTTATGTTCGATTGTTGTTGATTTTTTACTTCGGTTATAAAGGTTTCACTTATCTGCTTCATTTATGTAACTGTTACTATAGTGTGCAGCTGATGAGATATCGCTAAATATGCTAGGTGATAAATTGTGCAAACCGTTGGTATCTTCTCTGTTCCAATCTCAGACAGCCAAAAATGCGGGGGTTGGTTCTGCAAAGACACGAAACTTGCCAAGGCGAATAGGTCAAGCCGTTTGCTTGGCGCTCTGAAGGTCATGAGGATCATCCTACTGGCGCGTCTTCAGTTCACGGGTGCAATTTTTGCAGAGACCCACAGGAATCGTTGCTACAGCTACGGGGTTCGTGCTTAGTGCAATGCACAGGCGGAGTCATATGGGGCAATGAAGTCGATACTCTTGATTTATAACTTTAGCTTTAACAACCAAGACAGAAAAACAGTTCCATCCTTGGCACAGTCGACTATTGCTTTCAGGCTAACCGTATTCACGCGTGTATAGACCGCAATATTTTAACTGAAAATTAGTTTATGCAAAATAGGGCGTAAGTGCCGTTTGCTCTATAAAATATAGGTCTAACCCTATATACCTAATTGTCGCTGTAACGTTGGTGGAAGACACCCGCCTGCGGATCGGAATGTTGTGAGTTCGCGTTCTGACGGAGCCGGACTTTTACCACATTTACCTTGACTCTCAGGTCGATCCTGCTTTGAGTGCGTACCAGGTGCAGTCCTGGGAAGTAAAGGCAGCCAGTGTGATACTGACCACATCACCCACCAAGTGCCGATTGGTCTATAAAAATATAGGTCTAGCCCTATATACCCAATAGGCCCGAAGGCATGGAAAAGGGTCCTTTACTTAAAATAGTGTGCGGCTTATATTCGATAATTTAGGTCCACATGTCACGTGTACCCCATTTATTAATAAATACAAGTTGTATCTGCATTTCCAATTGCCCCCCATGCTGTAGTTGTGTGTCTTCTGTAACTTTAGAACATATCTTTAAAATCAAACATTTTCTCTCGGTAGTTTTCCGGAGATATCATCAAGAGAGCTGTTCCAGGCAACCAGTGATAGTGATCTGTGGAGACGCATGAGCGCCGACTCCAGATGGCACGGCACATGATGATGATGATGAGGTATCGGGAAGTCCCGCGCCACTGTTGTCTGTCGCCGAATCGCTAGGTCCTTTAAGTGCCGTAAAGCGTTTTGCCCCTCCATGAGGTTAGTTGCGTATCCTTTAAAGGACGTTGCAGAACCAACCCCAGCAGCCCCTGGCTGTTGTCTGGTTTTTCTATGCAAATTTACGTCCAGTAGTTTGCTACTGCTGCTGGACGGTAGGCCCCCTGGTACCACTGAAACCAACGAAAGGCGCATAGCCCGCAGCTGGGATCGAACCCGGCACCCTAGCATTACAAAGCGTTCTCATCGACTTAGCCACAGAGCCGACAGCCCCTCCATAACTGACCTTAAATTCACTGGCTCATAACGCAACTGAAACTGACAACTGTAACTTGCTCTTACGCGACCCATTTTTCACTGCTTACAGGTACTACTGTCTCGGTGTTGGTCTCTCGACAAAATCTAAGAAAATTGTTTTTTCTCAAAATTATCGTCTGTGAAACCGGGTGCTGCCGGCGGCATATACACACAGAAATACCACTATATCAAAACTCCATATGGCTATAGGAGTTAACAGAATGGAATACTAGATTAGCCTCTTCGTTGACGTACAATAGCACGACAGGGTCGCGATGATGATGATGATGATGACTGACAATTCCTGATAAAGCAGGCTATTGTTTCCAAGAGAGCTCAAATTACACATGGTCAACCCCCCTCCCCCCCCCCCTCCCCACCATCATCCCCAATTCTCCTTCCTCGCCCGCTCAATTAAAAAAACAATTCTCCCTTGCACCCCCCACCCCCTCTCAGAGTTTGTTGCTGTGATGGCGATATCGATCACGCAGCAGCGTTGTAAGAGGGGAACTCTCTTGTGTTTTGCGGATTAATGTTCTTTGACTCAGTTGGTGTTTCCGGTTTGTTTGAGCC